ATAAACTCCAAACTGTCTTCGGACTAGACATTATGATCACTCCCATTATTACATATTATTTCATTTGTTATGTAACCATTACAAATTCATACTTTGTACTTAAAAATACCTCAACTTTAGCTGTTTTGAAACTGACACTCTGTATTCATTCAACTTTAAATTTCTTGGTGGATCATGTTAATAAGTCTGCATTCTAAATTTCTATTCATTTTAGGCTGGACTTTTGATTAGAATAGAAGTGATAAATTGGATGTTTCGTATATTGATATTAGATACATGATATTATATTGGCATTTATGGTTAAGTAACAATCTATTCTTGTTAAACTACCTATTCCTTTTAATTATTATAAAATTTACTACTATTAGAGTTTCGAAATTACTATGAAATTCGATTTAGAATGTTCCGACTAAAAAAATGGCTAGGTTTATTGTTCCCGTAATTTTCAAATATGACTATATTACGATCATTTTCAAAATGAATGACGTAAGTTGATGAAGAAAAAACAAAAGGACAATGACATTGACATTGACATGTATACGATTATATTATAATTAAGTTGAAAAGATATGTTTTGATAATATCATGATAAGGGCCGTAGTTTAAGTTTATATAATTATTACTTTGATAAACATGCGGATTAGACTTGGTGTTAACTTTAGACTTATCTGAATATGAGTAGGCCATAGCCAATTAAGCATTATTAGTTTGCATTTGTTAACATTCACACCTTTTCCGGCTAATTTTTGTATATTTTCTCATGTCTTGGTAATAACATTAACCACCTTCAACGTTACAAAATGCTTGTCAATGTTTTTGTTTTTTTACTTCAGTTTTGTTTCAGTGTCCTTTTCTTGAAAGTACTAATAAACCATATTAAAGCGTCAAAGATGACGACAAACAAAAAAAAGCGTCAAAGATGATCACTGGGAGGATATAACACGAATCAATATAATCCAATGTAATTTTGTTTCTATTCGTTGATTAATCTGCGTTAGTTTTGTTTTTTTAATTGAATGTATAATTGTATTTAAATTAAAAAATAATTGTACAGTGAATGTGTTCTTTATTATAAGATTTCTAAAAGCGGTTTTGTATCATACGATCTTTTAACGAGTGGAGAACTATATTTCCATGATCTTTGAGAATACGTGGTCTCCTGCATTGAGAATCAAATTAATCTAATTCTTGACATTTTTTTCGATTTGTTTGATCAATCGAATCGAATTAGGAATGACTTTTAACAC